TGATTATTGTAGCTATTTCATCTAACTATTGGTATATGTTTATTGAATAAAACAGATTTGCACAATCATATCTGTGGTGGTCTTTTAATTTGAGAGACAAGAACCAAGTGGTCCAGGTTACAAATGGTTATCAGGTCTTAAGGAAAGGGGGACTTGATGGAATCTGGATTGTTGCAAACTGTGTAAAACAATTATATTTAGGGGAATTGTGGAGGTGCAGGGTTTTATTTAGTTTAAAATTAGGATATTTGGTTTGAGAACTCTGAATAGTATTGTACTCTTGCCTGGTACATTTGTTGATGCTGAATTCCATCAACCATTATTCTGTAGTTAAATTGCTAATGACCCTTCTGAAGTGTCCAAACTCCTTCCTTTTTTTCCTGATGTTTAGTAGTTATAAATAGCTTTTTGCTTTTTAATCTGTAAAGCATGAGACTGTTTTAATTGTCTTAGGCTTTTTTGAGGTTGAGTATGTTGTGCCTCTTCTGCAAGTGAGTAATTTAAGTACTTGGAGAAGTCAGTACTTCTTGTCAGAGGTCATATGAAGTTAGTAGTGGAGGATGTTGGATGTTTAACATGGAACACCTGATTTCCAGGCTTGTGTTTTTGATGGCTTCTTGTTGATTCTGGGAGAGTCTGCACATTTTCCTTGGTGAGTTTTTTTTTTTTCTGTTGAGCCTTCAAATTTGTTGAATGCCAATTCCTTCACTTGTAGGTCTTTTTTTTTAATTACCAGAGAGCAATATCAGCCTTATAGGAAACTTAGGTATTGTTATCCAGCTTGCTAGTGATTTGTCCTAATTGTAATGCCCCTTATTTTACTGGATTGTCGAGATTTAAGGACAGTATGATGATTTTATTTATATTTTCCATAGAATTTAGGAGAAAACTTTTATTCTCTGATTCTGCTGTGTATCTATAGAATTTTGACATCTAAATGCCAGAGGAGGAGCAAATAGCTTATCAGTTGACCAGTATTTATTAAGCATTTGTTGTGTCTAATGAAATAAACCCTACTTGCAAAAAGCTTACATTCCAATAGGGGAGCGACAGTTTAAGTATATATGCCCATTAAATGCAAAATATTTAAATACCTATCATGGTAGCTTTCAAGGGAGGGCACTACCAGTTGAGGGAATCAGGAAAAAATTCAGGTAGAAAATGGTACTTGAACTGAGACTTGAAAGAAGAAAGGGATTCTGTGAGGGAGAAGGGAGGAGAGGGAATGTATTTCAGGCACGGGAAACAGCCAGCTGTAAAGGTGTGGAGATGAGAGGGATGGAGTTTTATGGGTGAGGAACAGAGAGAAGTTCCATTTTGGGTACATTGCAGAGAGCAGTAAAGGGGAGTGATGTCCAGTGAGGCTGGAAAGATTATTTTGGGGCCTGGTTGTGAGGGTCTTTAAAAGTTAAACAACAATTTGTATTTGATTCTAGAGGCAATAGGAAGCTCCTGGAGTTTGAATGATCCAGCAGATGTAGACTTAATGAAAATTGCTTTAGCTTTAGTGTGGAATATAGATTAATGTGGTGAGTCAGATCAGGAAGACCAATTAAGAAGGCTGATGCAATACTTCAGGTAAAGAGATGATGAAGGCATGAACTAAGGTGTTGCTCTGTGAGAAGAGAGAAAAAAGAAACTGAGATTCGCAACTGATTGGGTGGTATAGGATGATGGAGAGGAAGGAATTGAGGAAGAAGAGTATATCAATATGATTTTTAAAACTTTTAAGTTTTTTGGAAAGATTTGTATCTTGTTTACTTCAAGGATCAGGATTGGTTTTGTTTTATGCAAATTTTACTTCGATAATGATTAATGATAAGAATTCAGGGAAGGATGGAAAGATTTAATATGAACTTCATGCAAAATGAAATAAGGAAAACCAGGGAAACTACACACAATGACTACAACAATGTAAATGGAAGAACAAATGAAACTGAATGTTGTATACATTTAATGACCAAGTTTATCCCAGAAAGATAGGAGAAAATTCACTCCCCTTTCTCAGCAGAAGTGGAAGAGGGGCAGCTAGGTGGCACAGTGGTTTGAGCACCGGCCCTGAAGTCAGGAGGACCTGAGTTCAAATGTGACCAAACACTTCATAATTACTAGCTGTGTGACCCTGGACAAGTCACTTAACCCCAGTTGCCTTAAAAAAAAAAAGGTGGAGGACTTATGCAAGTGGAACATTGCATATTCTATTAGACTGGATGAGTTCAGTTAGTTTTGCTGGGCTGTTTCCCCCAACCACTCTCATCCCCCTTTTTTCCTTTGTTACTTAGGGGCAGCTTCCTAGGAAGGGTAAAAAAAGTGATGGGTATATATATGGAAATGAAGGAGGGTAGAAAAACCAGATAATTAAAAATAAGAAAAGCACATAATAAACTCAGGTTTTCATTCTGAAGTGCAGTGTAATGTGTAATATTGCCTCACATGTAGAGTAGAATTCATGAAATTAAATAGTGCTAATTGTTAACTATGGAATTATGAACAAAGGTTATAGACTCCCAGAGTGTAACTGTTTAGACAACATTCTGATAAAGGCTTGATTTGCACATAAAAAGAAACATGCTTTTGGGGGGAAGGGCCTAGGCAAAAGGGTTAAGTGACTTGCCCAGGGTCACACAGCTAGTGAGTGTTATGTATCTGTGGCTGAGGCTCCTGACTCCAGGGCAGGTGCTCTATCCACTGTGCCCCCTAGCTGCCCCTAAAAGACAAAATTTTAATATGTTGTTATCATTTTAAACCATTTTAATTAGTGCCATTTAAGTATTTTTTAGTATTTTTTTTAACAATTTGGAGGAGCCAGGTATACTTTGATACCCGCCAGCTACCTTACAAAATAGTATTTAGGTCTGTTCTATCCAGAATAATTGCCTAACTTGGCCTCTTAATGATCTACCACTAGTTTTTCACTTTTAATATAGTATTTCAAAGATACTCATAAAGATGTTTATTTAGTTTTGGAGACACTCAAGAAAATGCTGAGATAGTTTTGAGTCTCGAGAATTTTTCAGTAAGTTTTGCAGTTCTTCTTGAAGACTTTTTTTTTTTTGAGATAAGTGGGTTGGGGTTTTATTCCCCCAAAAGTGCTGGGAAATAGGACCCAAGGAAAATGTGTTATTGTTGAAAAATAGGGTTTGACTGACTTTTCAGCCAAGTCTGTTTTTATGCTCATATAATTGGGTTATATGGTTAATTTTATTCAGTTATTTTCTACCAAGGATTTAAAACCACATTATTTTATTTGCATATTGAGACTTAGTTTGAGCATTATTATCCCAAATAGGTAATTATTTTTTGAATGCGTGACTTTAAAATGCACGCATTCTGAGTTTGTCATATTGGGCTGAATTTTTTCCATGGTGTGAGCTATGTACATCTTAAACTTGATAAGCATTAGTGGGCAAGCAGATTCCTATTCCATAATTGAGTTATACCTGTAGCATTGCAAAGTATCTTGCCTAAAAGCAGATTCACTCTAGAATTCAGGGGTGGGGAAAGGTTGCCAATTTAAACAAAAATCCACTTGAAAGAAAGGTTAAGTTGCTGTTTTTAGTGTTAGTGGGTTTTTTTTCCCGTTTTCCTGACTTTTGGGGGGAAATTTTTAAAAAAAATTTTTTTCTCGCTTTATCTTTTGCTTTTACATTACCTTCATTATTTAATATCACCTTTCTCCACCCTAAGCAATTCCTTGTATTACCAACGGACTCTTTAACTCTATGTACATGCAATAAATATTCCATTCCCAAAGCTTCCATCTTCTACAAGGGAAGGGAGGCACACTTTCTCAATTGTTAGTAATTTTAATATTGATGTTACTGTTGGAATAATTGATAACCCTTTTCAGTTACTTTTCATTACTGTAGCAAGTTATAAGGAGAAAAGGCAGCTACCAGTCAGTTTATTTTTTCTAGAGTTGGTAGGTTGACTTAGGAACCAAAATTAATTATAGCTGTTGTAAATAATGGCTGCAATAATATAAGAGCTATTATTTCTTATAGCACTTTATATTTCCCTTTAAGGTTTGCATTTGTGAGCTCATAGGCTTGGAAAACCTTTCAAGTATAGGTGCATATGTATCTTGTATTATACCACAAAGAATTGCTCTGCCCCACTAGAATTCTTTTTAACAAAGGGGTAAGGGAAGCCTTCTTCATCAGGTTTTTCATTTGAGGGTTCAGAATTTGGTTTATTCGGCTTCATAAAGACATGGGGCTACAGTGGAAAGTGGATTATATTTGGGGTCAGGAGATCTGAGTTCATATCCCAGTTCTACCATTTAGCTTACTGGGTAGTGACACTGGTACAAATTACTTTTATCTTAAATGAGGGGGTTAGATGACTAATATGGAAATAATGTTTAACATGATGGCACATGTATAACCTTTTTCATCTTGGGGAGGAGAAGGGAGGAAAAATTTGGAACTTAAAATCTTATAAAAATGAAAGTTGAAACTATATTTACATGTAACTGGAAAAATAAAATACTATTTACAAAAAAATAATAAAATAAATGAGGGGATTGGTCTATGTGACCTGAGATTATTTCTAGCTCTAAGTCTTAGATTCTGCTTATGTAGGTACATGCTATAGAGAAAAGGAATGACAGATGATACTTTAGATTCAGAAGTAAAAAGCTAAAGGGAATAAGATGATTTTACTGTACTTAATATATCTCACTACAGAAGTAAAAAAAAGTGTGCTTTTTTAAAAGTTGGAAAATTTGTTTCTGTAAATGTGGTTAGTACACTTATTAAGTGTCAAGTTTTTGTATTGAGATAAAATTAGATTTTGTAGCTTGATAAAACTATTCATTGTCTTAATACAATTTATGTCATTCTTTTTCATTTGAATCCCATTATATTTAATGATCCAAGGCCTTGGCAAAACCTAATAGCTTTTTAAAGTCACCTAGTAATACATTGGTTCTCTTATTGGGAGAGTAAAGTGTCTCAAATACATTTATTAATTTATTTAAATCTTTCTCTCTTTTCTAGTTCATAATTGGCACAATGGAAGAAGCTGGAATTTGTGGCATAGGCGTAAAATCTGATATGTTAAGCAATGCTCAGCGAAATGATATTCTACAACATCAGGAATCTAATTGCCATGATTCAAATAGCAAAAAATCGTTAGAGGAGGTTGAAGAGAGTAACTTTTTAACCAAGAGCAGAAATTTAGTCAGCACAGCATATTGCACACGAGAATCAAGAGAGGAAACACCTGGTCGAGAAGCTCGGACAGATCCACCGGATGGTCAGCAAGATATAGAGAGTGACAAAAACAAAGAAAAAACTTTAGGTAAATGTTTTTGGCTTTAGGGACTTGTTCTCCATTACCGTTATTTAACTAAATTATTTTCTAATGACTTGGCTTTGTAATATAATCAGTATCTCTGTATCACAATATAACATTGCCTTTGGTCAGGTCATTCTACCTGTCTTACAGACCTGAGTCATAGATGAGCTTCAGCATACATGAGTTTGAAAGGAATTGACTTATTAAACTAGATAGAAACAGCTACAAGATTGTCCCTTTTTCTTTTGAAATGTAATCCAACCCCATAGGCCCAGGGAACTTTTACTACAAACATGCAAAAGTTCATGACTTGTGCTGCTGTATACTAAAGATGAACTTTCTTGTTTGTAGAGGGCGAATCTAAAATGGACAAACTTAGTGTCTTCAGTGAATTAGAGGCAGGCTGTTGAAATGGCCCTAAAGCGTCTTTCATATATTACCAGTGATAATGAAGGATGGAATAATATGAACACTATTATAAAAAAATTGATTTTAAAAAGCTATTAGCTTCAGTCTTTTATTAGAGAAGTCACTTGGAAGTTGATTGTGTAGAAATTAATATAATCTTTGTTTAAAAATAATGTTGAAAATTCCCATGGTTTTCCAAAGAATTGGAGGTTCTAATTTACAAGAGTTTTCCTCCTTGTAGTGTGTCTTTTGGGAATAAAATGGTGTTGTAATATCTTAAATGAATGAAGTTTTAAAAATCTTTCTTTAAATTACTTATCGCTTGAAATGGTTGGCCTCCACTGTTCAATGCTCTTTCTGCAATTCTATGCTTACCATTTTTTCCAAAACAAAATTTGTAAGCATTGTGTACTTTCTAGTGCCCTACTGTACTAAAAGAAGATAAAACTTGTAATTGTTATCTTAAAACTAATGGACCCAGTTTTTATATCCAGGGTATAATGTAGTAAAGGTTTGAGGTAAAGAAATTATAATTATAAGTGAAGCTCAGAACTACATTTCCTGAGTTTTTCCATATTTGCTATTTCCAGTAACATGCTGTGTTTAAGCTTACCATTTTATTTGTGTTGGCCAATTCTAGATCAGTTGCCAATTAAAATTTCATTTAATGATAACATAACAGCATTTACACAGTGCTTGGCACTATGCTAAGCATTTGACAAATATTATCACATTTGATACTTACATCAACCTTGGGTGGTAGGGAGGGGAGGTACTATTATTATCCCCATTTTACAGTTGAAGAATCTGAGGCAGACGGTTAAATAACTTGCCCAGGGTCACACAGCAAGTGTGTGAGGCCAGATTTGACTTTTGGTTTGATTTGGGTAGGAACTATTACATTAAGTGTCATTGAATCTGGGCATAAGAATTCATGTTGTTTCAATAGATTAGTGTTGGAGGGAGATTAAACTATATTCTCCGACTATGGAGAATACTAGCCGAAACTCTTCTAAATTCTTTTCTATATGGTACTTGGTTAGGTAGCTTTTCTTTCTTTGACATTCTTTGTAGCTTGTATAACATGTTATTTTGAATACCTATATTAAGCTTTAGGAAGGTAAATGGATTTTTTTTGTATTCCTCAATTGTGTACGAAACTAGTAGAAAAGATGAGGTGAATAAATTCTGAATTCTATGCCTTGTGATGTTTGAGGATTAAAAAATTTTCTTAATTACAGGAATTTGAATTGTTTCTAGTTTCTATATATAATAGTAAAATCAAACTCACTATATATTAAAAATGTCCTTTGGTGTGATATGATACCCATACTTTTTCCCTAATACTCATTTGGCCTTCATTTTATTCTTTCAGGAAAGGAAGTTTTATTGTTGATGCAAGCCTTAAATACCCTTTCAACTCCAGAAGAAAAATTGGCAGCCCTTTGTAAGAAATATGCTGATCTTGTGAGTAGTATTCATTCTGTGGGGAAACTATCACATATAAAATGTGCCAAAATGTATAGTAAGTTTAAAAATTCTGCATGAATTAGAACAGTCTTGATCCTAAAATTTTCCTGGGCAGGGGGTGGGGAATTTAGAGAGGATTGGTTTCTCTGCCCTTATTTAATTACATAACTAAATTTAGAGGATATATATGATAGAATGAATAGAGAATTTCCAAAATTAAGAGAGTTATCTCAGGTAGTACCAAATTCATAATGGTTTAAGTAATAGTATATCATAGGGCAGTAAATCATTTATCTGTTATCTTTTCTGTAAGTGATTCTAAAACAGTAGTAGGTAGGTTGAGTGCTCAGACCATTTGGATGGAAGCACATATTGAAGAAGGTGGAGTATTTGGTAAAACAGTACTCTTGTGCCACCCTGACAGCAAACTAGACATGCTTAGAAAGGTAACATTGGGATACTGGATGTTGTCTTCAGTGTTCCCACTGTCTTTTGGGAAGGAAATTTGAGTTAGAAAGCATAAGGTCGTTCTAGGCCTAACCTAGTTCACTTTGGAGCCTCATGTTTTCTTATTTTCTTTTTTTTGTTGGAGCCTCATATTTTCTGAGACATAAAAGCCGAGAACAGTTTACTTTGACGTTGTCAACCTGGAAATCCTGCTATTCTGTGTGAAAATGATAGAGGAGATAAAATGTTACAGGAACATTTAATTATAACAGCTTTCAATCTATTGTATTATGCCTTTGCCTTTCCAAAAATATTTATGCAATCATTGATTAAAGTATTATTTTGATTCCTTGGTCCATTAATAAACCAAGTAACAATTTTATTAATGATTGGCTTATAAAAATGAAACTAGTAGTCTTTTTGTGGCAGAGCTGAAAAGTTGTTTATATTTGCTTGAATAAGATTTCTTCTACTATTGTCCCATTATTTGAGAATAGCCTGAACAGGAAGTTTTAATAGCTATAAGATCTGTTGTTGTTTTTGAGCTTACAAATATGCATTCTTTTTTCTTTAATATTTGGGGGGGGGCACTAGACAATGGGGTTAGTGACTTGCCCAGGGTCACACAGCTGGGAAGTTCAAGTGTCTGGATTTGAATTCAGGTCCTCCTGACTCTAGGGCTGGTGCTTTGTCCTACAAATATGCATTTCTGTAAATTATCTTCTTTTCAGTTCAGAAAATCCTTAAACTCAAATTATCAATCCGTGTCAGTCATGAAATTATGCTGAAGTTTGTTGCTGTATTCCTATAGTTAGGACTAATTCCTTTAGTCCTAAAATGTGATGATTTGTTGTAGAATGTGGATCTATAAATCTGTCACCTCACCAACCTTCTCCCTAATAAAACAAACAAAACAACAATAAAAGCAGAACCTGAACCTTAGGGTTTCTCTTGGCTAGCCTCTCATTTTGTATGTGCTTTGTTGTAGATCATGTAGTAGTAATGGGGACCCAGCTGTTCTGACTATAAATCCAGTGATTTTTCTGTTACCCTACACTGCCTGCTCATTGTATCCTATTGACCCATCCATGTAGAACAGTTAACTGTTTCTTTCTTAGTTGTAATTTTGGAGGCCATTTTAGAAAAATTGCTTTGTATGCTTGAATATGTTGATTCTTGAAAAGGCTGTCCAATTGCCTGCTGCTTTTTAAAAAAGAATATTAGAAAACTGTGATCATCGTTGCTTTTTTTCTGAAACTCCACTACTTTACATCTTAGCTAAAAAAAAAGAAGTAAGAACAGATTCTGAATAGAAAGAAAAGGAGTAAAAGTTCTAGAACTGGGAGGGACAGTTTTAGAGATTAACTGCTTTTTATGTTGTTTCTCTGCCTCCACCCCCACTCCTCATGCAAAGAGTTTGAGGAGTTCAATTTCCTAGCTAATTAAACGGTATAGGTAGAACTGTGACTAGTCTTTTGATTCCTAAGCCTGTGTCTTTTCTGTTATACCATGCTACTATACTCAAAGCAGGGGAGAGATGATTTGGAAGCAGAGATTGTAGTACTGATTATATGAAACTATTAATGTAGGTGAAATGTAGGTAAATAAAGCATCATGCCATATAATGTTTCTCATTTTGCATTTCTTTTGGATTTCATGGCACATATCCATTAGCTGACATGTTCTTATACTTAATAAAATGTAAGATACTTCTTAATTTCAGCTGGAGGAGAGTAGGAATGTTCAGAAGCAGATGAAGATTCTTCAGAAGAAGCAAGCCCAGATTGTGAAAGAAAAGGTCCACCTGCAGAGTGAGCACAGTAAGGCTATTCTAGCGCGAAGTAAATTGGAATCTCTGTGCCGGGAACTTCAGCGTCATAATAAGACATTGAAGGTGAGTTTGTAATTTTTACAATCAGGATCATAGGACTATGTTTATTTAGTCTGTAGAGTATCAAGCTGTTTAATGGTTTTTTATTTTAATGAAGACTGTTAGTTGCCTGACAAGTACAAGCATGTTTTGTTGTTCTTACATCAAGTTCTGAAAAGATGATTGTGGTCTGAATGAGACTATTTTATGACAATGGAGACAATAGTAGGTTTTTTATTGTGTTTGGGTGATATTCTCCTGGATTATAGCAGCAAATGTTTATTACTTGAGTTCCATAAGAATTTCATTGTAATTGTATTAGATCAAGAAAAACCTTATATAGAAGGTGATTTTGCTGAATCTTAAAGGAAGCAAAGTTCCAAAGTATTAGGGAGCCTGAGAGATCAGAGAGCTTTGGAGTTTATTGAGCAGGAGACTGACATGGCCTGTGCTTTAGGAAAATTACTTTGGCAGTTGGGTGGAAGATAATTTTGAGAGAGGAGAGACTTGACAGGTAAACCAGTTGTTGTAATCCAGGTGAGAGCGAATGAAGATACTGAACTAGGTTGGTAGTTTTATGAGTAGAGAGAAGGGGACAGAGGCAATCTGATGTTACCAAGATAGAATCACCAAGACTTGGCGACTAGATTGGTGATTGTGGCTTCATTGAGGGTGTCCTTCAAACCTAGTATAATTCCTAGGTTGAAATTCGGGTGAATAGAAAGATAGTGGTGTCCTCGATGATAATAGGGAAATTTGTAAGAGAGGGGAGTTTTGGGGAAATATGAGTTCTCTTGTTGTTTTTCCCATCTCCATTTCTCCAATCCATCCTCCACATAAGCTGTCAAAATACTCTTCGTTAAAATGTGACCATGTCTAAAACCTGCAGTGGCTCTATTATTGCTTCTAGGAATGAAATTTCAGTTTGGCATTTAAAACCGTTTATACTTTGGCACTAACCTACATTTCCAGAATTATTTAATTTTCTTTCCTTTCATTCAGTGTTTCAACCAAACTGATCTGTTTAAGTGTTCTTAGATCTCAACATTACAGCCCCATCCCCATGCCTGGAATGCACTTGCTTTTTAGAAACTTTGTGGTGAAGGGCAGGATTCTTATTGTGGCTTCCACCCTCTGTAAAAGAGGCATTGTTGGTACCATGCTAGTCAATTTTTTGCTCTCAGTTTATTTGGATTTGGAGTTGAACCTTAAAGGTAGTCTAGGCCAGTGATGTCAAAATCAATACCCCTAAACTGTAGATAAGGATCCCTACAGGTTGCTCATTAACTTAGAAAACCACATATCTTTATTCCTTTTAAAAATTTATTTTGTTAAATATTTCCAAATTACATTTTAATTTGGTTTGGGTAAAAGTCAGGTGTTGTGAGCCATTGTGTTTGACAGCTCTGATCTAGTCTGGTCACTTCATTTTTACAGATGAAGTAACTGAGGTACAGAGAGGTAAGAGTGGTGGAGCCTAGGTTTAAACGACTGGTCCTCTGACTTTTAACCCAGAGAAGACTCTTTCCATTATTGTAGGGTACTTGTCAGTTACGTCTTTGCCAGCCAGGAGGTAAAGTTTAAGTGTGAGTAGAATGTAAGCTTCTTGTGGGGAGGGGTAGTTCTCTTTTGGTTGTGTTTTGTTTCCCCAGTGCCTAACAGGGTCTCAAACAGTGCCTTACATAAAGGAACTTAATGTTTTGTTGAGTTGAATAGAATCCCCTGGCCCCAAGCCTCCTGGGTGATGTGCTCGGGTTAAGAAAATGGATGGTAATGCCTATTTTTCTAAGACTGTTGCCTAGCGGAAAAAGAGACTTGAACTAAGATTTGAACTCAGTTTCATGAAAAGAACCATATTTAAGTATCATTTTTCTTTTTTACAGTTTCCTTTGGTTGCAAGTGAAAAAGAATTAAGTAGGTAGGAAGCAGGGTGGTTTAGAATAAAAATGAATGTTAGAAGTTGTAGTAATTCATCTTAATCATATAGATAATTTTTATACTCATATTCTAATCCACTATTCAAAAATAACACCGTATTTAATCTCATTATGTTTCCTAGTACATGGTATTGGAAATGGTAATTTTAAATTAATACATATTTCTAAGAACCTGACTTCTTGGCTGTGCTCATATTTTTGTCACTTGATTCATTATTCATCACAAAGTTGGTTATTACCTAATTAGGTTTTATGGTCATGCTATTATCATGATATCCTGTATAACTAATTTAAATTGGTCTTGGAAAAACCCAACATTGTGTGTGTGTGAAATAGTATTGGAGAGAAGAGCTAGTACCATAGGAAAAAATGAGTGATTGGCTGCTGTGTAACATGCTTTTGCAACTTTATGAGGGGGTTAATGATATGATTGTGGTTAGGGCAACTTAGAGGAATCATCAGTGGTGTAGTAGATAGGGACCTGGCCTCAAAGCCAGAGTTCAAGACCCTCCTCAGATGTGTACTTGGCTACATGACCCCCGAGGTAAGGCATTTGAGCTCTCAAGGCTGTAGTCACCTCTCTTCATGACTACAAATTGGAGAGAAAGTACCAACCTAAATTGGGGGGAAGAATTTCCTTATCTGGGAGTTCCCTTCTACCAATGACATTACAAGTCTAGTGCATCTGTGTAGAGCCAGTTTATGTGAAGTACACCTGAATTCTTATTTATGCTTACGGATACAGAATGTGTATCCTGACAGACACTAAAAAGTTCTTTTAATTTAAAACAATCTTTCACCCTTCTGTCATGTGGTTGTCTTCTGACAGACTATATGAGGTTCAGTCAGATAAGAAAAATGCATGATCTTCCAGGTCTCCGTAGTTCTCATATTCATATGGTTAAATGTAAGTATTCTATAGCAGATAGCATTTATTACCTAGAGAAGTCTTGGCTGTTTGGTTGAAATCTTAGCTTTTTACAATATGTTTCCTCTCTGTTTTAGTCAGGATCAAAATGGAATGCTTAATGTGAGGGTTTCTTATCAATAAGCTTACATACCATTAATTAAAAAAAAACTGTTTTGGACGTAAAGGAAGAAAATATGCAGCAAGCACGAGAAGAAGAAGAAAGACGCAAAGAAGCAACTGCACATTTCCAAATTACTTTAAATGAAATTCAAGCTCAGCTGGAACAACATGACATTCATAATGCTAAACTTCGACAAGAAAACATAGAATTGGGAGAGAAATTGAAAAAACTTATTGAACAATATGCATTGCGGGAAGAGGTAAATGAGTTTTAGTTCATGGAATAATTTATTAGAGGAAAACATTTATTGGTACTTAAAATGTGATTTAAATCATTGAAATTTTGTAAACAGTACATACGTACCATATACTATATGCTTAACAGAGTCACATAAATGGAATTAAAATGTGAAATCTGTGAACAGGTGGTCTAGGATTTGTTTGGAACTGGGGTTTGTAGACTAGGTTCTTAAAAGTGTGATGCATTTCTCCCTGGTCTTGCTTCATCGCCTCCTCAGCTTTCATATATGAATATTGTTTATAGCATATAAATTGTTTACCCAAACTAATAGAGTCTCTAGGACGGACTCTACCTTCCATTTAGGTTTTTCTACTTTATTTTCATTTGACCTTTTTTCTCCAATATTATGAAGCCAAGATATCAACAGCTGTTTTGTCTAATGTGTCACATCCATCGAAATAATGAGTTAAAGAAGTACAAGGCTTGGGAGTGGCAAGTGGCTCCAAGTGGCTCTTTGTTAATTTTCTCCCTGGCCGCTTTCATTGTTACCATCGTAGGCAATGATAGATAAGGCAAAGTCCAAGGTATAGGCAGAGAAAAGATACTTAACTGGGCTGGTTGTTTTGGTATTCAGGTTTCCAAAGTGCTGTAATTATATTTTTAGAAGCATCAGATTTATGGCTTTTAGTTAAATAATTTTTTAAAAATTTATATCCTTATTAAAATACTTGATGATAAATGTAATAAAATCTGAAAGGGTTAAACTGCAAAAATCAAATTGTATGTTACACTTTGAGCACAACCTCTTGAAATCTGATAATATTCAATTCTATTATTGTCTTCTAATTTTATTTAAATTTTCTCATTTTATGACATAAAAGAATGGTATGTCTAATTTCGATTACAGATAAGCAAATTGAGAAATTTTGTGAAGTGTTGTTATTGGCTTGTATATTATCAGAGTGAACTACTATAATTTGTTTTAGATGTTAATGATTTAAAAGAAATTTTCTCTGATGTACTTAATCTCTTTATTTTGGAAGTTATTCAGGGATAGCATTGCCAATTTGTTGGCTATTGGTTCTTGTTATTTGCAGTTATAAATAGTTTCACTGCAATGTTTACTCAGTACTAAATCAAGTATTATAGCATTCCTAAAGCTTTCATGAGACATTGTGCTTACATTTACAAAGCATACTATAACTATAACATAATAAACTATTTTAATGCCACAGTGTGGACTGGTTGATAAGATGTTTGGAAAGTTTAGCAGAGAATGAAAAACATACTGTGTGCTGGATATAAGAAATATGCTATGAATTTACTTAGCAATTTGAGTTACTTATTCATTTCTTCCAGATCCATTCCCTCCCAGATACAGGCTGAGACTAATTTTAATCAAGTATAGAAGCAGGCAATCGAAGGACTCGCAACACTCCATCTCTAGTTTTGCCTTCTCTACTAGTACCTATTTACCCATTGTACCACTTCCACATCTTAGGCCTTGCAATGGGTCCTGCTTATTAATTAGCTCTTTTGGTCTCAAACTACATGATATATCAGTTGCATGTAAAGTAATGAGGCTACTTGCACAGGCAAAAGAAAATTAGTCATTGCTTTGTAAAGTTACACTAATTTTTAAGTATTATGAGTAACTAAATCATCATTGTATGTAGAATGTATTTGACATTTGTTGATATGGTACTTATAGTGTAGATTACAAAATACACATTAGTATTTAAATAATAGGTGACAGCTATGAAATTTTACTTTTCTGTAGCATATTGATAAAGTGTTCAAGCATAAGGAACTACAGCAGCAACTTGTGGATGCCAAACTTCAGCAGACAACACAGCTCATAAAAGAAGCTGAGGAAAAACATCAAAGAGAGAGAGAGTTTGTAAGTTCCGGGGATTGGAAGAGGGAGGGTGTCAGTGGTCAATATCTTGGTTCATTTGTAATATTTAAATTTAAATTTTGAGTTATTTAGGGATAAATAGCATTTGAGGAAATGTTCCTTGTTTTTCTCCCATCCATGTTAGTTGTATAGGTTTGTCACTACTTAATATGCTACAAAGCAGGCCCTAGCTTTGGTTTTATTTGAACATTCTACTATAATATGATCTGTTAGAATAATAAAAAAGACTATCAAGGCAGTTTTTATTATATCTGTATAAGGCTTTTAAAGTTCCCCTATGGATGGTGTTCTGCAGTAGTAGTATTAAATTGTCTTGTGCCATTGTGTATTTCAAAAGGTTTATTAAAATTTTCAAATTTTTAAACTATACATTATCTTGAATGAATGAAAAATATTTACCAGGTGCTCACCCTGTACCCAGTATCATTCTAAGAGGTAGGGATACAAATAGAAAGGCAAGAGTCTGTATGCACCTTAGATGGTCTTCATGAGTTTGGCTATTGAGAAACAATTCACTCTGTAGCAAACCTAGTGAATTTAGTTGTTTCTTATATGATAGTTATACAGATGCATTACTAAGTCTATACAAGAGGCTGTTTCTGCTTGATGGGAATCAACCTGAGCATTGTGTCTTGCTTCAGGAACTCAAAATCACCTTGCAGTAAGTCACTAGAATAAGATTTTAGTGGAAGAATCATAAGCACTTATATTGAGTGTTGAGTGTTGTGTTTTCCTCTGCATTTAACATATTTCTGTAGCTTTTGGTATTTGGTTTGTATATAGAAACATTTCTTTGAAGGGCCTCCTTGATAGTTAGAAATGTGACTTGCTCACAAATGGGAGTTGCTCACCAAAATGTGTCTGATTGAAAGTACATTTTAAACATCTTTTTTTTGCGGGGGGAGGTGAGACAATTGGGGTGAAGTGACTTGCCCAGAGTCATACAGCTAGTGAGTGTTACATGTCTGAGGCTGGATTTGAACTCAGGTCCTTCTGACTCCAAGGCCAGTGCTCTATCCACTGCACCACCTAGCTGCTTGTAAACGTCTCATTTTTTCAAGGTTTACCCACTCTTCTGTCTTATTATGCTTTAGTAGAAACCTAATAATGAAACTGCAGTTCAAGTAAAATACAATTGAAACTTTTCATGGAGCAACTGAGTGACTTTGTTATACCATAAAGAAATTTCTTCTGCATTAAGCAGTATATTTTTTCTCAACAGTCTTGGAGCTGGAAGAAGGGATATCTCTTCTAATCTGCTTATTTTGCGTTTTAGGAAATTGGGGCCTAGGAAGAAGTTACTTGTTCAGGGTCTATAGCTAATTTGGTCTTCAACTAGATTTTCAGGGTAATTCTTAATTAAAGTGAAAAAAATCGCTTGATGAGAAAATCTGGTTTTTCAAGTACTAGAGATAATCGCATGAGCAGGGAAAATAGGTTTTTTGAAGTACTATTAGTGTGTCATAGTACTTGCCTTTTGTTAGCCTTCAGGAATATCCAATTTATAGTAATGTAGACCACTTAGTAGCATTAAAAGAGTTAAAAAATTAACTCCTGGTGGCTTAATGACCACCAAAGCCAAGTCATTGATTTAAAAACTGAACAACTATTTGAGAAAGAAATACGAAATGAATGGGAACGAGCAACCAACATTTGTTAGGTCTCAAAGAATTCAGATAAATGACGGTAGTGGAAATCAAGAAGAACTGACCTTTTCAAGGATTTCAAATGTTCTGTAAATTACAATTTATCACAAAAGGACGGTTATTTCCAGGCGCCATCTACGTAAAAACATGGGTAAAGCAAGTTCTTTATAAATAGGTTATAGACTTCAGTGGCACTTGTTCTAAATGAATATTTTACCTGAAGATATAATTCTTACCTAAAATATTTGAGTATGATTTAATTTAGATTTGTATTTACTAATAATATATACCACTTTATTACCTTATTATCAGTATTAGTATTTGCCAGGATGTGTTTCTATCTTTTCCAGTTGGTAAAAGAAGCCACAGAGTCGAGGCACAAGTGTGAACAAATGAAGCAGCAGGAAGCACAACTCAAACAGCAGGTAACTTGGAAGAACGAATGAATGGTAGGCTAATTTTTAATGCAAAAGTATTGAGCAGTAGAGAGGAAGATGCTAAATACCTGGTTGTAAATCATTACGAGGCTCATGGCCAGCCTGGACCACAATGATGACATAGGTACAGTCTGTCCTCTTGTAAGTCAGGGTAGCTTTTTCTCTCTGTCCTCCCTCCCTGCTATACCAACCTCACACCTCTGTGGTATCTGTTCTGTTTCTTGTTCTTGTTCTTAGTTGGCTGTCAGCAAGTTAGTGTTAACTAAAATCTCCAGTAAGAGTTAATTACTAGATAAAATAGGGCCTTTCCCCTGGTGTCTCATTGCAAAAATTAGTATTTTTATTTTAAAAGTGGACTCATAAAGACTCAAAAGTCTCCAAAGCCCAAAGGAATGAAGGTAGTAGAGTTGATATTGTGGGTGTAGTCATATTTTTTCAGGCTTTCAATGAGAACAGGCATGGCAGGTGCATATACCCTATCTGACTCCCTTCTCCCAGCTTCTTATTTTTACCTACCGCTCAGTTCATGAGAATTTCCCAGGGTAGTATTAGAAGGCATAGATTGGTAGCTTCTCTCAATCCCTCAGTTCACTGTTTTGGGGAAGGGATTATGGACAGGGGTAATTTGCTAGCAGATGCTGGCTTCCGACTTAGCAAGAAAGTAGCAAATGAAGATTTGGCATGACATTACCAGTTCCTAATTTATGCAGATAAAAGCAGAAAATGGAACCTTGTTAAATTTCTCCTCTGCTCCCCAGTACTTGGTACAGTGCTAGGCACATAGTAGATGGTCAGTAAATCTATTGGCTGATTGTTTGGTAAATTCACACCAGTTTTTACAAACAGATTAACACTGTAAAGATTCATCCAGTTTCTCCATCTTCTACCCTTATTCAGCTTCTCCTCTGTTTCTGAATTCTTACTAGGAATGACCTTGCCTTCTTTCTTAACAGGATACAAATTTTGTAAGCCTAAAACAACTTTTCTTAGTGAGTTAACTTGGGTTTTGCTTCTTTGGGGTTAAAGTACTTAAACAGCAAGTGACAAAAATCATCAAGAAACTTTTAGAATTTTTTAATTGTAAATAATAGGAGGGTCAGTAGTTACTATCATGGCAACAGTATTGAAAACAAAAGTGCTGTATGAACAGTTTATAGCTATTGTCGTGCTTCATTTGTTGTATTTGACTTAATTTATATAAATATATATATATGTGTGTGTGTGTGTGTGTGTGTGTGTGTATATATATATATGTATATGTAATAGCATTTCAATAACTGGTTGACTAAAAGGGATCTGTTATGTGGGTTATATATAATTCATAGAATGTCCAAGGTTTGGGATAAATTTTGCATCCCTAATTAAGAAGTAGCTATAAGGTCTCATTTTTACCTAATAGTTCTTTTAAAATGGAAATAATGTTTAACCTTTATTGCTCAGAAAGCCTTTGTCTAAAGCACTTTTTAATCTGAGACTCAGAATATTTAATATTTTTTTCCCTATAGCTTTCTCTTTATATGGATAAGTTTGAAGAATTCCAGACTACCATGGCAAAAAGCAATGAACTTTTTACAACCTTCAGGCAGGAAATGGAAAAGGTACTAGCAGGATTTTTAGTAGATTCTTAGGATTAATTATCCCCAAAACACAATTTATTTAAGTTAGTGTTATTTTAAGTATGATTATAGCTTGTATGGACATACCTAATTATGGGAGTCCTTTTTTTTTTTTGCATTGACTTACATACACTATCGTTTCAGAGATGTTTTACATTTATGATTTTCCATTGGCAGTAACTCAACATTTACCTGACCTTAGTCAATACCTCAAGTGGTTAATTAATGATCTATTAACACAGTTAAAATGCACTGAGGGAGCTTCTTATGTAAAAGAACACAGGGAGTTCGTGAGTATTTCAATTAATTATGTAATTTAATATAGACAACACAGGGTACATTTGTATTTTTACAGTGGTTAAAATTTATGGGTGAATGATATGGATTTTTCTAACTCTTAATGGAAATCAGTATAAAAGTTAACTATGTCAGTAAATTATTCTTGTCCCTTTATTACTCCATCAGTGTGGCATTTTGTTCTCTCCCTCTCTGTTGCCCAATCCCCCAGCCAACATTTGTGGGAATGGATAAATTCTAAGAAATCTTATGGCCCAGAATGTTATTCCACAATAATAGCATGTTAAAACTGGTACCCATTAGAGTGGGTGAGATTGGCTTCAAAAGTTTGGTTATAGATTGTGGTTGCCTCATTGTACAAAACATGTATGTCTTTCCCATTCCACTCATTGTCTATCATCATCTCCCCTGTTCTCATCCTTACCCCCCCCCTTCCAAATTATGAAGGTTTTGAACTGAAATGTAAGAGTATTGCAGTCATTGATGACTAAGAGAATTTGTTTGGACCAGTTTTTACATTTTGGTCCATCCAAATGTAGAACAAAGATGAAAATAAAGAATTTTAAAATTGACTATTCTGCTCGAGGCTCCTTGGAACCTGGATAGAGGCAGAAGGGTTTCCTGTTTCTGTCTGTTTCTAGAAATCTCTGTAACAGTGGTAATACATGCCGCTTTTGGAAGAGCAGTTTTATGTAGTGAAGATCAGTTAAGTCCCAAATTTGTAATACTGAAATTCAAGTATTTTAGAAGGGTTATAGATATCAACTTTACTCATGGATCTGTAATCACATTGTGAAGAGTCCCTCCAGTGATGCAGATTACAGTTCATTTGTGTTTGCCAGTCATACTGAGTGACTTGTCCTTCAAGAAGTAAATAATAATAATAATAGTAATAATAATCTTCCCAATAGTTTACCGAAGAGGTCCCACCTAATCCGCTGGGGGCATTGTTGAAATTTCTCTTGACATCACAAGCACACCAGTGGAACACACAGACTATCATCCATTGGTTATCCTTGCCGTGTCACAAACCTTTATTTTTCCCCCGTCCCACAAATTGTGTGCCTTAACCATGTTTTACTGGTACCATGAGGAGAAGGTAAGTTGTAACTAAGAATCTGCCTTGAGGGTTGTTTAAAGCTAAAGACTTCTCCGCTGGGGTACAACTCCCTTCATAACAAAGGCCATCTTGATTAACCTTATCATAACTGTTCTCACATCTTCCCCTCACCTCATTTACTAAAGAATTTTGACTTCTTATAAATAATACAGCATTCATTGGCAAATTTAAGTAATGTAGACCTCCTCCCCACTTCCATCTTCCTTTCTCCCTGCTGAGTGCTTCACTGTCTTCTTAGTGGGATGTTCGTAAGGGAGGGAAAAAAACCCTATTTTCTTTAAACTGTAGTAGTTTGTGATACTTATGTGCATATATAGACACATATGTATGTGTATGTATGCATTAGTGCTGTTATTATGTATGGTTTCCTCTGAAGGTCAGGAAAGCCATTTTCATAATATGGCTTCCTTAGTATGGTTCCAGCTGCTACCACGGCTAGTTTATAGTCATCCCTCTGTTATTGGCAGTTCAATTCAGCAAGCATTTATTAAGCACCTACTATGCCCAAGGCACTGTGCTAGGCACTTGTTACATAAAGATATTGACACTTCTCTCGAGGAACTTAGAGTGACATTTAATTTAGACCTGGAAGTAAGGGGAAGTGGGGCCAAGGTTGTGTGAACAAAGGCATAGAACTGGAAGAGGTCAGGATGCAATTGGGAGGTCAGTGAGTCAATCAGTAAGCATTTAATAAGTCAAGTGTGTACTATTTGCTAGGCATTTCTGGGGACACAGATACAAAGAATGAGACAACCTCTATTGGAACATGGATTTTATGAGTGAATGAGCATTTATTAAACATTTACTATGTATAAAAGCACTGTGCTAAGCGCTGGGGATATAAATAGAAAAGGAGATGATCTCAAGAAGCTCACATTCTAATAGGGGAGTAGTATAGACAAAACTGGTGGGAAAAGTTGGAGCCAGGTGGTGGAGGGTTATAAAAACTGAGAATTTATACTTGATTCAGAAGGAACAGCTGCCATAGGTTTTTCAGTAGAAGAATGACTGGATCAGAGTAGTGTGTGAAGAAGATCTCAGGCAGTGGTGTGAAGGATAAACTGGAGAAAGGGTAGGGGATCAAATGAGGGTGGTTGGAAAAGAATTGGAGAAAGGGAGACAGGTTCTAGGAAGATTTCTGAGTTGAATTCAGTTTGGCAACTTATTTGCTGTATGGGAGGGAGAAAGGACAAGTTTTCAAGAACACTGAGATTTCTTTCCATGGTCACGGGAGAATGAGGAGGTCAAGAGATATAAGGGTAGTGTCCAGCAGGTATTTGCAAATAGGGAATTGGAACTTGGAGGGGAAATTGTAAGTGGAGATGTAGATTGATGAGAGAGCTGTGTAGAGGAAGTAACAGAAGCCATGGGAGTGAATGGTCACCAAGGGAGAAAATAGAGCCAAGACTAACCATAGAGAAGTCCACGTGGACAGTCAGGAGAATGAATGAACTGGTGAAATCACTGAGCAGGAGTGGTTAGAGCTGTAAGAGAATGGCAGTGTAGTATCTCAAAAACCAAGGGAGTAGAAGGGCATCAAGAAGATAGATGGCTGAAGTATGAAGACTTGTGTGGCAAGGAAGTGGATGCAGTAGTTGTAGACAATAGAAATTAGGCAGTGAAGGGAATAAAGAAATTTGTAAAATGCTTTAGCAAGATCAGGGTTGCTAGGAATGGTTTTAATACAGGAGACAAAATATTGAGGTAAGGGGATGTGCGTCTGAGATTGGTAGACAACTTTCCCTTTTCAGGATTGGGGTGGGGCAAAGTACACAGGAAGAAAATAGCCAAATTGTTAACATTTTATAAAATTCTTCAGTTTTAAGAAATAAAGCTATGAAAATTTGTCTTGGTCAGTAATTGTGTATTGAATAATTCTCAGATGACCAAGAAAATTAAAAAACTGGAGAAAGAAACAATAGTCTGGCGCACTAAATGGGAAAACAACAATAAGGCACTTCTGCAAATGGCTGAAGAGGTGAGTATGACAGAATATGTAACTCTCATTCATTCCTCTCTTCTATATGTACCTACCAAAGTCAGGGGAATTTTTTCAATGCCTGGAAATTCCTTTCCATAGCTACAGGGAAGATTGGGTTTTTTTTTGGGGGGGGTGTTTGTTTTTTTGGTTTGTTTTTAGGCAGTTGGGGTTAAGTGACTTGCCTAGGGTCACACAACTAGTAAGTGTCAAGTGTTTGGTCTGAGGCTGGATTTGAACTCGGGTCCTCCTGACTTCAGGGCCCGGGCTCTATAACCACTGTGCCACCTAGCTGCCCTGGGAAGATTGTTTTGTAATCAAGTTTTTTTATGAACATTGATACCTATGTAAATGTGTTAAACTTCTGTGAAAAAAGTATTCAACTTGCTTTAATATTCTATTTACTAAGCCCATTCTTACATGGGAGATAATTAAGAATTCATTCCTTTCCATCCCCTGCATTTTATAGGAATAAAAATTACTTCTTGGTAGCAGAAAGTCATGACCTAAATAAACGTCCTTCTGTCTTGATGTAGCCTCAAAAAAAGGAAAAGGTGGATAAAAGATTAAAGGGGGGAAAAAGCAGTAGAAGTATTTTGTGTGTGTGTATGTATGTATGTGCGTATGTGTATAAAGTAGCCTCAGGAGAGTTAGTAGAACTATGTCCAGCCACATTTTCAAAACTCATTGCTGTTATTGGGGTGGGAGAGAAGATGGATCTGGGTAGCTAGGTGGCATAGTGGATAGTGTGCCAGGCCTGAAGAAAGAAAGATTCATTTCCCTGAGTTCAAATCTGGGCTCAGACAATTAAAAGCTGGTTACAGGTGACCCTGGACAAGTCACTTAATCGTGTTTGCTTCAGTTCCTCATCTGCAAAATGAGCTGGAGAAGGAAATGACAAACCACTCCAGTGTCTTTGCCTGGAAATGGAGTCATGAAGAGTCAGACACAACTGAAAAATGACTCAAGAACAAAAAGGGTATGGTTACAGATATTTAGCTCTTTATACAAGTGAAAAAAAAATCAGAATTAGTATATAGAGTGCTGAATATTTTTATGTTGGAGTTGAAACTACTGATGATTATACTTCTTAAAGACTGTTAAATTTTGGTTGAGATGAGGAAACATGAATGTTGGCAGGCTAAGTGTAAATTGCACGCTTTGGTAAAACTATGACAGTGTCTGTTATTTGGCCATCTAGTTAGTATTTACATGGAGTTGATGTCAAAAGGTAGCACTATAATACAGCTTTGTGATTTGGATGAAACTTTTACAACTCAAGAGTTTAATAGCCTAATTTGTCATTTAACCAGTTTTGTTAATTTTATTTATAGAAAACTGTTCGAGATAAAGAATACAAGGCATTTCAAATAAAACTGGAGCGTTTAGAGAAGCTGTGCAGGGCTCTCCAAACAGAAAGAAATGAGCTCAATGAGAAGGTGGAAGTCCTTAAGGAACAAGTCTCTGTGAAAGAAGCAGACATAGATCAAACTGCGCCTGTGTTACAACCATGCACTCTTCTTGATTCCCACAAAAAGCTGAAAACTCCCTCTAAAAAAGAAATGAGGATTCCCTTAGAGGCTGAGCACAATGCAACAGATGAAGGCGATGGTTTTCAAGAGACTGTGTCCATGAGTTCTGTTCCTGACACTGATTCAGTTGACTAAAATGAAGTGTAAACACTGTATTGAGAGATATATTTTGTGTATAACTTTCTCTGTTGGTGGTAACTATTGGTTTTGTGGTGAAAATTTTCTTACTTTTTCTACCATATCTGTATTTTCTTAGAACTACTGGACTTATGTGGTACAGGAAGCTGCCTAGCAGCTTTTGAATAGTTTTAATCTATAAATTTTCCATAACTGTGTTGCACATCTGCCTCATTTTTTCCCCTCCTTTCATAAGAATGCATGTGTGTGTTGCCTTGTCCATCTTTTCTCTGCCCCCTGCACACAAAAATCCATAATTAAGTTTTTCATTAAGGGATACATAACAGGCTTACATACCATTAGCAGGAATCTGTAGTGGTAACATTTCCTTAATATGAAGATACTGTTTCTTGGTATATTAATGTAACTTTTCACCAAACAAAAAAAAAACCAAACACAATTTGTAGAAGACACTTCTACCTACTGGCCTATAAGAATGTCAAATTATCTCCCCCTAATATGTGAAAAGAAGAATCCAGAATTAGACAATATTTTGCAGTGGCCTGGCTTGTCAGCTTTGCAAACATTAATTTCATTTGAATGGATTGGCACCGTTATGCTTCTCAAAGTTATGGCATAGCATTTACTCAGTCATGAAAGATTTACAATTTAACTTGCAAAAAGACGTATACGTTTGTGTTACTGGATGAGAACAGGTTTAATGGGTATAATGTAACAGTAAAAGTTGTCATTAGGCCTGTTTCATATAATGAATTGGTAACATGGTTGGTCTAAATTAGGGAACTGCAGAGAAATAATAATATATGGATATTGCAGATATTTTGCTATATGCACTTGTCCTTTACTTCAGACAATGCTTGGCTTATTGTTAGAGATCACTGTTAAATGTCTGAATCATGTGGTCTCTTTTAATGGAAACTTCTGAAAATGTTTTAAGTTACCAGGCTATTTTAAATAGGCAGAACATCCTCATGCTATTATCATCTGGTTACATCAAAGTTGCAACTTTAAAAAACTTGCATGTAAAAGTAAAGGACCACAAGTAAAACTACACTTTAAAAAATTATATGCAAATATTCTGGGGTTTTGCTTCCTATGAGTTAATACCAAATTTTTATATGGTTTTTTTGAAAAGGTTATTTCAAAGGGAATAATCCCTGAAGCAGAAAGGCAGGGACCAATATTTTAAATATCAGAACACCAGGCATTGTAGCCAGGGGACTGATAATGCTACTTATGTCCAAGTATGCTTTCTTAGTTTTCAATTTCATTGCTTTCATTCTTTGTGGTTTTTTTTGTTTTTTGTTTTTTGGCGAGGCAATTGGGGTTAAGTGACTTACTTGCCCATGGTCACACAGCTAGTAAGTGTCAGATGTCTGAGGTTGAATTTGAACTCGGGTCCTCCTGACTCTAGAGCTGGTACTCTATCCACTGCGCCATCTAGCTGCCCCCTGTTGTTTTCATTCTAAAAGAAATGCAAAAAGTAATATTTTCTGGTACTTAATTTTATTTTCTTTGCACTTAACTTGAAGAGGGATTTCTAAACCAAGCACATAACTCTTGATGATTCTCTTTGCCTAAATAATCCCTTGTCACAGTACACTTAGCCTGAATGTTCAGACTGCACTGATGAAAGGTTTTTACCTTTATGTGAAGTTAAACCGTTGAGATCATGTAGATCTCTTTCTATGATAAAGTTTTAAATCACACCGCTGAGCAAAATTCTTAAAACTGTAGCAGCACAAAAGAACTCTGTTCTGTGCAGGTGAGAAATGTTAAGTCAGATTTGCACAGCTTGTCACAGTCGAGGTTTTAAGCTTGATGATTACAAGAGGAAGGTAGACAGATGAAGGTAGAGCTGTCCAGCTAGTCTCTAAACTTTTAAAGGCTAATCATGTTGAAAACCAAAGGGCAAGGCAGTATAAAAGTAGATTCATATGAAACTATACAAAATGGCATGACTGCTGTGTTGTAATTAGGTAATTTTGGTTAGTTGGTTTCAGTGGCACTGAGCTGCAGTTACCATATCAAACATGGGATTTGTTTTTTTAAAGGTAAGTGTAGATTCATATATCAGAACAGCCTACCTTTAAATTTGGACAAACTGAAGTTTCTGAACCAGTGGAAGATGTCGCTCAAACATTTCATAAGACAATTGTGTATCTTCCATAAATTTCTACATGGTGCTTGCTTTGCGTGGAAGATAGATTTTGGATCCTGTTGTGCATTTTTAAAGGGCTTTAAAAGCAAATGGTTAATAACATACAGTACTTTTCCTGCTGTTTTCACTTTAACTTTGTGTACCATCTAGATGCTGTAACAAAGGAACAGTAGGGAGTACTTTTGAGGACATTGGATTTCCCTTTGGGTTTTATTTCTCCTTCAGTCTTATATCCCAACAAAAGAAACAAGGAGGCTTGCTGACTAGAAGGGCACCCTTAACTAGTCTCGTGTCCAATAAGATGATTTGCAGGTCCAGTAGTAGCACAGCCAACACTTAGACTCAGCTTTACCATGTAGTTAGTCATTGCAGTGACTGCCAGGCAGGCCCCTAGTACATACTTTAAAATATTATTATTCAGTTCATTTAAATTGCATTTCTTGCACTATGATTGAATCGAGATGTGGTAGTCTATAATGATAATGGCCTCTGAAACTTGGGCCCTGGATTAAGAGACCATTTCATCATTAGACCACAGAAGTGTGTTTTCTGATTTTTAAGAGAGAAACATTTTGTGTGTGTGTGTGTGTGTGTGTGTGTATGCAAACTGTACTTTTACTACACTTACACCTGGTTGTTACAGTTCAATTCTCAGGTGTTGCAGAAAATCTACCTCTTTCAGACTGTAGATGGAAATAACTGTGAAAAAAAAGTGATGCAGAAATCTAGTTTGTGCTAAACACTGCTTTATTTTTACAACCCATATCTGCTTTCATGAGGAAAAGAATTGATTAATGAACAGGCAGTCTTGTTTTGCTTTTCAAAGACATTTTGTAGAGATTTTTCACTAATGTGAATCTGATTTTATCTACTCAATTCTGTATAGATTAAGTAAATATGTATGCTTAATTTAACAGACTCTGTGTTTTCTTTATCTTTGGAACAAAGTTTATGTATCACATCTAAATTTTTGAAGCAAACTATTATATATAAGGGGTACATACTCACAGATATGATATATGCTAATTCTGATTTACTGTTCAGCAATATTGTACCTTGATATTACTTTGGTCCTTGGGAAGGCAAGAGTTGCAGAATTCTGATAGAAGCATGGAATTTGAGGAAACTAAAATCTTTAAAGATTTTTTTTTTATCAAATTATGGAAGTTAATGGAATGGGCTGAGGAATGTACAGATACTAGACAAGATTCTTAGATTTGAACACTGTTGTTGCCTAGCTGTTTACAGCTAATTATCCTGTAAGACTTAATATTTTAATACATTTTATAAAAATATTAAAAAGTTTAGTTGTGCCACCAGCTTTGTCCCCATCTTTATGGATGGAATTAGGATGGTCCATAAAACGACACCTAAAGTTTTTTCCAGTTCTGAAGAGTAAGGATCATTAGATTGAAACATTTATTGTTATATGTATAATTTCTGTTGGTTCTACTTTCCCTAAACTTTGGCAATATATTCTAATGCTCTGTTAACTCAGTTGCCCTAAAAATTATAATTCATGTTAAGTACCATTGCTTCATCTAATCTACATAAGCATACTTATTCATTTTTGAATTATATTGACTATGCAGCTGCTTTCTTACATTTCTATTTGAATTATATTCTTAAAATATGTTGGGGATACCTTAGGCTAATACTTGGCCCAAAATGCTGTATTTAAGAATTATTTCTTTCCTGGTGTCTCAAAAGCAAGTGAATTCAAAGACAAAGTGTTTTGATGGTGTATCAGTCTAATCTAGAAAATGTTACTACCAAGCCAGACATGGGGTGGCATATTTGGTGAATGGGGACAGGACAACTTTCCATGACTATTTAAAGTGACGGGTGGAATTAGATTGATTTTGGGATGCCCACATTGTGTGGGCATCCCAAAGAGGTAGTGGTGGCACCATTCAAATTTGTACTCACTGCTTATTTCCATTAGGCTAGGCCCACCAATCGCCTGTATTTTACATATTCTGAAAATTTACATTGATTGGGACTTAAGTTATATGTTGTTACCTTGAAAACTGTACAGAAAACTGCCAGAGTTCTATTAGTAGACATGAAAAGACTCTCTACTTCTGTTAAAAATTAAAAAACCCAAAAAAGACCTATTATCTTAGGTCTGTAAGAACTTATGTAAAATTGCTATGGACTGGTTTTTAGTTTCTTCTTCAAAGAAATAAAATTTTATTGATTTTCTTTACTATGAAAGAAGCCAAGAAGAGGTAAAATGCAGTAATAATGTCACAATTAAGTTGTGACATTAGAACCACATGAAAGCTGCTCTGTGCTATCTAAAGTAGTAAGATTTTACATCATATGTCTGGACAATATATAGTATGACAATGACATATCACCTTTTTAGTACTTCTTCCTTAGAATACCTTCCCAGTAGCCTTTATTCAATTAATAAGTAGCTCCAATACAATGGCTGTCTGCTATATACATTTGGATACATAGTACTTTACTCAAAAATATTTGAATACACCTGACCCAGTCAAACATAATGTTCGTTCTAAAAGAGATGATTAACTTTTGCATCACATGAACATTTTGGTAGTCTCAGGAAAAAAAAAATTAAACCCCCATTCTAAGGGTATGCTCTTCCTTAACAGCCATTATGACACAGGCACAACTTTTAATAGCTTAAAAACAACACTTGTATTTCTTTGTTGTGTCTCTTTGGTTCAATTACTGTGCTGTGTAAATAAACAAAACAAAGCAATTTTTTCCAAAAGATTTATTTATGCAAAGCCAATCGAGTGTTTCAAAAAAAGTAAAAAGCTGTTTTGCATATGGGGGAAGAGGGGAGACATAGGTATATACTGGAAAAAATGATTGAATAAGTGGTACCCTGCAACTTATATTTCAAACAGACATGCTGCTCTTTTAGTAACATTCCTGTTTTTCCCAAATGGCAAAATGTTGTACAGTATGTAATAGCTCACTTAAAAAGTGCTGAAATACTCAGGGATAAATAAGGAATGCTTATAAATTTAACTATACAAGCTTTTTTTTTTGCATCTGAGAAATCA